TACACACACACACACACACACATATATATATATATATATATATATATATATATATATATATAATTTTTTTTTAATGTACAATATTTAGAGATACATTTCGAAAATGCATTACTTTATAACATATATGCAAGAAATAATTTTGTTGAATATATATATATATAATCTCACCCTGCTTGATGAAAATCTTGGCCGAGACTAGACTCGATATAGTTGACAACATCGGCGCCATTTGAATTATGCTGATAAGTAAAGGAGAAAGTCTCCTTCCACGGCAGTTTCGACGAAAACCTGTCGGCGTGGGCGCCGGAATACCCGCAAACGCCGCCGGGTTTTCTTCTCACGGCCAGCTTTTTGTCCACCGGCAGCTTGAAGAAGGCATCCATCTGCTCGTGCGCCGCCCTAACTAGACTGGGGTCCACGCCGTGGTTGACGACCTGGAAGAATCCATGATCCAGACAGGCGGCTCTAATCTGTGCCGCCGCCGAAAGGGTTGCTTCCCGATCGCCGGCGAAGAATCCGGTCAGGTCCACCGGCGGCTGTTTGAGTTCTTCTTCGGCGGCGGAGGCTAAATCCTCGTGCGGCCATAGGAACTGCGTCGGCAGATTTGGCTGTTTTTCGATGTGGGATGTGTCGAAGACAAGATTATTAATTTCATTTTGGGTTTTGATTTTGAATGGCGGACAAAGAACGAGAGTTGAGTCCATGTTTAATTTAATAAGGTGACCGAAAATATGTTATGAATTCGCGGTCGAGCGAGCGTACCCTTTGCTTTATAGTGGAATAATTAATTAATTTTTTTTAGCGAAGGAATTTATAGCTAATCATATAGGTATATTGGGTAAATATATAATCTCGATTCTTGTATAATAGCTTGCAAACCATAGGAGATATATAAACCACACTAGGCTATGTGCCATAAATTCCACCTAACGACCGTTGACAAGAAAATTCAAAGTTTGGTCAATTAACACAGACTCACTTGCTCCAGCCGCTAGGCTGTTCCTTATAGGATAATTAATTAATTATTATTGTAAGGGTTTGTCTCTTGAGGAGTGGCTTATCAACGTTGGACTATTAAAGACTTGACTACCTCTTTTTTCTAGATAATTCAAGATTCTTAGTCTAAATTAGAATCTTTATGTTTGAATACAAGTTTTGAAGAGTCTTTATATATATGTAAGTAGAGTGGTCAAAGAATCATCTTAGCTTGTAGTTTGAGAGTTTTTCATAAGATCATTTAGATGTGGTGTATTGATATGTATAATTAGTAGGGGGGTCAGCAAAAGTTCGGAAAAATCGCAACCAAAAATGGAAACTCGAAATCTTTCGAGCCTTTTTGAATTGTTAACCACTTACATATTTATTAATTTTTTTGATATGTGTGTAACAACCTAAAAAGACAGTTATTTGAAATATAGGGATTAGAAACTTTGATATCAAGATGCAATGAATTTAGGCGGTTCAAGAGTTATATACTCCCTCATTTATTGATAATTTATGTTGGATATTTAACTATAAAAGTCAAATATAATTTATTGTTTTAACTTTCTTTAAATCAATTTTATTTATTTAAATAATTGGTTTTATTAGTGCTAGTAAGTGGGTGGTTATTTCTAGTTTAGCGATTAATTATTTTAGTACTTGATTGATTAAAACCCGAAACACGAAACCCGAAACTCGAAAATTCGAAACCCGAAAATCCGAAATCCAATTATCTTCTATAGTGTGTTTATTTCGTGCAGGACAATGAACTCTTGGATTCTAGAAATGGAGAAGTCATCAGTTCATTTCTTACCAATTTCTAAAGAAAGTTGAGAGGAAATAGCTTTGGGTATTGGAACACTCTCTACAACAACATGTTTTGTTTGTGTTTTGCTCTCTACAGAAATGAGTTTGTATTTATTCAATATCATTCAATATCAATATATATCATTGAATACTGATTTGTATGTACTCCTAGAGTTCTACATCAATTCTAGGAAATTATTGTACGGAGAAATCATCTTGTGATTTCTTCATAAAAGAGAAGATCTCTACTTCTTTCTTTTGTATTATTTGAATATTGTTTTAATAAAAGTTTTCCCCATGTGAAGGTACATCTACAGATTATATACTTGTGGATAATGATTTAAAACTTGTGTTGCTTTAATTTTCATTGCACAACATTTCTTTACACAAGTTTTTGTTTATTTATTTGTGCAAATCTCTGATTTTTACACGAATTCGGTGCCATTGATTTCTTTCAATTTACACTTTAGGCACAACGATTAAGAAGTTCATCAAACATTTTTTGACAAGAAAATGTAAAATTGGGGTTATATGAGATAACCCCCTCACACAATTTTCTTAGAGACATAAATCTATTTTTTTATCCACTATTAGGGATAACCTCCTCACTTAGCATAATATCCCATTTACCCCTATTATATTCATAAAATATAATTAAACTATTTTTGCATAATCAAATCCCACTAATTTAGAGTTCCACTACTAATCTCTTTGCCAAAATAAGTCCCCTCAAATCTCGTATACAAAAATCCTATTTTTTTTTCAGAAAAAAAATGTTTTTTTTTTCTATAATTTTGATTAAATGGTGTTTTTTAATTTTAACTATATTTTTATTTTGGAGTTTTTTTATAAGAAAATTAGAAAATTCGGATGTTTTAAGTATTTTTTTTTATTTTGATTTTTAATTTTTAATTTTTTTTTTACTTTTGCTTTCACATTTCGATTTTAAAAAAATTAACAAATTCATATCCACTATAAACTTATCGAAACCACTATGTAATTAACGAAAACTATTATACAATTAACGAAAACCACTATGAACTTAATGTATTCCATTACGAAAATTCTCTATAAACTTAATGATATGCCTAATGGG